CTCAGGTGCCAGCTCTCTTGGCAGCCGTGCTCCCCGGGCACCCCCGAGCTCTGCAGTKCCTCACACCACTTTCTGAGAGCTCAGGAATTCTCCATCAGCTTCTCATCAGCACCAATTAACGGTGGCAGATGGCGCGCGCGGATCCGAATCCGACCCTCAGGAAGCGCGGGGTGGCTTTAATGAGAAGAGAATTATTCTCCAGCCAGGATGTTTCGCTGATAAATAAAATAATAACAAGTCCTGTAATGCGCCTTGGCAGCGCAGGATTTCTCTCTCTGCCTACCTTTGTCTGGAAGTGCCATCTGCGGATTTCATCGGAGCCTTTGTGTCTGGMGTGGCTGTCAGCGCCGCAGCAAACCTGAAAATCCCCCCGGTGATTTCTTCTGGCAGCAGATAATTCAACTTCTGCCCTGCCCACGTCTCTCTTGCTCTCTTCTTGAGGGAAAGCAGAAGGCAAAATGTATCAGCAAAGAGAAATGATTGAATTTCTAAAGAGAAAGATATTCTAGAGATAAAGAAATTCTGTCTTTGAATCATGGAATCATGGAATGTTCTGGGTTTGAAGAGACCTACAAGGATCAGCAAAGAGAAATCCTTGGTAAATTTGAATCATAGAATCACGGAATATTTTTCCATGGGGTGGAAGAATTTCCTTTCCAATATTGGGTTGGAAGGGAGCCACAAGGATCAGTAAAGAGAAATCATTGGTGATTTTAAATCACAGAATCATGGAATATTTTTTCCATGGGATGGAAGAATTCCCTTTCCAATATTGGGTTGGAAGGGAGCCACAAGGATCAGCAAAATGAAATTGTTGGTGATTTTGAATCATAGAATCATGGAATGCTCTGGGTTCAAAGGAACCCACAGAGATCAGCAAAGAGAAATCATTGATATCTTTGATTCACAAAATCATGGGATATTCTTCCATGGGTTGGAAGAATTCCTGTTCCAATATTGGGTTGGAAGGGACCCACGAGGATCATTAAAATGCATCTTTTCTGAGTGTCCTTTTGTGATTCTTACTCCACTTCAAAGGAGACCTTTTATAAACCTGAAATGCCAAGAGCTGACCCTGCCAGAGCYGTTCTCTAATAAATAATTAAAATATCTTCGCCATCTCGGCGACCTCTCTTCTGTATCCTCACATTTTACACTCAAAAAAGCTGCAAATCATGGCCCTGGGAAAAAGGGAGAGATAAAAAAACACTTTTGGAGAAATTTGTGCTAAAAGTGCCCCCCTCTCCTGTCCCAGCACCTTCACCTGAGTGTTCCAAACCCAACAGCTCCGGCCAAATATTTAATTGCAAATAATTTGGGGCCAAAATTATTTTATAATTATAAAGGCAGGGAGCTATTTCCCTCATTTACTGAGAGAATTATTATTATTTTCCTGCTCCCACGGCGTTGCTGCCCCTGGAATCTTCTCACAGGGAGGTTTTGGCTGAACCCCAGGCAGAGGCAGTGATGGGGAGAGGCAGGTGCTGCCTTTATATAGCAGAGCTGCAGGGATGGAGGGTGCTGAGGCAGCTTCAGGGGCCTGGGGGGACACAGGAATAAATATTGATTAAATTTCCCACATTTCTGCCTTGTTGGATTGATCTGGTAGCCGTGACCGTGCAGGTTCTGTGTCTGTTTTTTCTCCCAAATGTGGAGAAAAGAACAGGAGAGAGAAAATGATTTTTGAGCTCTGGGGTTTTGGGAAGGTTGGGGGAGTAATTGTGGTTTGTAAATGATGGGGRAAAAAGCAATGTTTTGRGGAGAWTCTTAATATTTGGGKTTTTTTTTYYCMRWKGKTKRARRRAWKRAMMRGKWAWYT